TTACGAGAGATTCCCACCAAATTAAGCTCCCAGCATCATTTTTACTGTGCCTGCACCGTGCCCGGGATTACCAAGGTGAAAAGAAGAAATTACAATAATAAAAGCGCAGTTATAGTTACAATAATATCAAGAACATTACTACTACTACTACTAATAGCAATAATGAAAAGGATAATAATAATAATAATAATAATAATAATAATAATAATAATAATAATAATAATAATAATAATAATAATAATAATAATAATAATATTAATAAGGATAACAACAACAACAATAATAATAATAATAATAATAATAATAATAATAATAATAATAATAATAATAATAATAATTATTATTATTAGAAGAAGAAGAAGAAGAAAAAGAAGAAGAAGAAGAAGAAGAAAAAGCAAAAGAAAAAGAAGAAGAAGAAGAAGAAGAAGAAGAAAAAGAAGAAGAAGAAGAAGAAGAAGAAGAAGAAGAAGAAGAAGAAGAAGAAGAAGAAGAAGAAGAAGAAGAAGAAGAAGAAGAAGAAGAAGAAGAAGAAGAAGAAGAAGAAGAAGAAGAAGAAGAAGAAAAAAGATAATAATGCGTCCATCAATCTCTGACTATGACCATACTGGAAAGAATAATAAAAGTGTACACATTCAGAGAAAAAAACAACAACTGAAAAAACATTTAAAAATTTACAATTATGTCACCATACTCAACAGGGCCAATGTATGCTTACACAAAGTAGACTACCTTTAACAGAAGTGGCATAGACGACTAGTGACAGATGTTCTGGCATGTAAAAACTTCTACTTGGACGGAGTTCAAGGGGCAAACAAACAAATAAACAAACAAATAAACAAACAAACAAACAAACAAATAAACAAACAAACAAACAAACAAATTTATAACACAGCAAAAGGCAGTGTTGAACTCTGCACAAAGTGGTCACAAATAGGAGTGCTACGGGAGGTGCCTAGTCATACACATCTCTTTCTCTCTCTCTCTCTCTCTCTCTCTCTCTCTCTCTCTCTCTCTCGCTCAGTGTGTGTGTGTGTGTGTGGGGGGGGGGGGTGTGTGAGCCGTGTGTGTGTGTGTGTGTGTGTGTGTGTGTGTGTGTGTGTGTGTGTGTGTGTGTGGTTGCGGGCATGAGTTTAAACTGAAAAGAAAAACCTCTTTCTACTAAAAAACGTATTCTTCTAAAAATAGGGTGATCCAAAAATGTTAACAAAACAAAACAGTACAATTTTATTCTAAATATCTCGCACAAAATTTGTATTAGAACGTTGTTATTTGGAACAGACATAATTCATTGAAAAGGAATTTGTTTGACCTAAAATTCAGAAAGAAGAAACTCATATTTTCGAAAACCAAAATGGCTTATAAAAACCACCTATAAACGCAAAATGCACCAAGGAAATGATTGGTTCGTTTTTTTTCTTTCATTTCCTTTCATTTTCAAAATCGAATCTTTCCATCCGTGTAACTTTTAAACAATATTTTTTCTCTCCTACATACTTTTATTCTTTTTTTAATTCTGGAGTTCCGAGAACCAATGGTCTGTTTGTTCTCCTTTGGGCGCGACACATTTTTACGCGTCGTTCGTAATGTTCAGTGGTGGCAAAACACAAGCATCCGCTCAACCATGAGTACTCAAAGTCACACACACTGTACACCTTACAGTATGTAGCGGTTTCTAGGGATAATTGGGATGGGGGAGGGGGGGGGGAAGGTTGCCCAAATTAATAGGCAGCATTTGAGAGTTGATATAACCTGAAAGGTAAATATGGGCTTTGCCAAGGATTCAAATGTCATAGAGGAATGTTCACGCTTTTCCAGACGATCGAGGAATCATGGACACATTGCTATCTTCTGATAGCTTCGGGAACGGGAAAATGGTACAGTCGTAAATGAAGATCTCCCTTGAGAATGCGGACCGCTGAGAGTTAGGAAAGTCCTTGCTGCTGACATCCTTTACGGACAGATGTCTCATGGGGCACATCTACTGAACGCTGCACCCTGGTGACGTTTAAAGAGGTGCAAACGGTGTGTGTTTGACCTGAAGAGGTCGTTTTGTCTGGACATTTTTAGTTCTGATTCTCTACAAGTCCTAACTGACGGACATCAAATAAGGCCTTAAGGACACTTTAACATTATTTCCGTACCTTGTGCAAAACTTACGAAATGAGTTGGTGGTGAAGAAATGTTCAATACAAAAAGCTCTCTGCTCTTTAGTCTTTACCACTCTTAACCATGATCATAACAGGAATTAGAAACTTGAGAAAAACTCTCTGCAAACTTCTGTTTGTCTATTAGACTACAGTAGTTTACCATATGGAGCAATCGTTGGGATTGTTAGTGGTAGGCATAATGCAAACTAGTGCGCCATGCCACAAAAATGTGGACATAGCTGAAAATGGGTTGTTTTTTACGCGCTATGTAGAGCAAAACTGTGATGAGGATTTATCTAAAAATGAATATCAGACAGATCCCTTTTGACTATCTAATGTCGTGTACAAATTTGAAACGAAAACCCTTCAGTGTGGAGGGGAATATTAATTCAAAAAAGTAGTTAAGCTTTTTTGGATCACCCTGCACCATTCGACAACAAATGACGTGAATACATGCTTTTTTATTTTATTAGTTGCTTGGTAGGCATACACTAATAGAAAGAATCTTTATTACTCACCCATGCACTGCACACACACATACACACACACACA